GCCGCCTTCGTTGTTCACCGGACGAGGAGAGGCAGGTCGAGAAGGGTGCTCCGTCGCCCACATGGAGCGGAGTCCAGCCTCGACGACCGCCCAGGGCAAGTCGCCATACTCGTTGGCCTCGTGCTTTCTCCTCGCGTTCTCCAGCCGTGCCTCCAGGGTGTCCACCACCCCTGCGTCACCTAAGGCTCCTACCATAGTGACTACCGCACAGCTGCCAGCCTGCAACTACGAATTAGGTAAGTGGTGTCTACGTCGACCTGACTGAAGGTAAGGTGTGTGCCGTCCACGCTCACCGCACCATTCGGAGATAACTGCTACAACGGGAGCTAGACTAAGGGCTAGGCACGGGTGCTCGTGTGATCTCTGCGTTCGTTGGTCCTTAGTCGTTTTCCTAGTGCACACACAGCTTGCTAGTTCACGGGGAGAATTGGCAAGAGTTTCACTAGAGAAAGTTGACAACAATTGGTACAATAAAGTTGGCATGGCAAGACTACATGGCCGGTCGACTTCCAGCGCAGCATGGCCGACCGCGTTCCAGCACGACTTGGTCGACCGCGCTCCAGCGGTGCAAAGTCGACGGCGTGCCAACGTCGCAGGTCGGCGGCGTGCCCGCGTTGCTCACGCAGAACAGCAGCGCACCCGCTTCGCGGGTGTGAGCAGATGATTGGCGGGCTGAGCCTCGTCACCTGCACAACGCACACACCAAGTCATCCTCGTGCTGACGACTCCACATGATCCGCCATGTCGACCTCGGGATACCACCCCCGAGCTCGGGCTCGCCAACTTCGCCTGGGCGACTGTCGCACTCCTCCGCAGAACCTCGTCACCCAGGTAACCTGGTCAACCGGGCAACCACGTCGACCAGCTGCTCCTGTATGTGCCCGTCGACCTCCCAAGTCGACGGCCACTCCAAGTCGACCTCACCAGGTCGACCACGCCCCTGGTCGACCAGCTCCAGGTCGACGTCACTTCTGGTCGACCAGCTCCACGTCGACCAGCAGTCCTGGTCGACCAGCTTCATGTCGACCAGCGCAGTTGTCGGCCGACCACCCAAGTTGGCTACCCGAAGTCGGCGTCACGAAGTTGACGCCCAGCTACTCGACGCCCAACTGCTCGGCGTCCTGAGTCGAGGTCGACGTCGGCCCCTCCTTCGTCGACCACCAGGTCAGGTCGACCACCAGCAGGTCGACCAGCAGGCCTGGTCGACCAACCACCAGGCGACCAGCAGTCCGTCAGCCGACCACCGAGGTCGGCTTCCCCAAGTTGACGTCACCAAGTTGACGTCCTCCGCAGGTCGACTTCCCAAGTCGACCTCCCTGAAGTCGGCGCCATCCTGAAGTCGGCGCCCGTACAGTGGTCTCCGTGCAGGTCGACCTCCTCGTCAACCAGCTCGCCCACTGCTGCAGGTCGGCTGCTCCCCTCACACCCGGCCACGAAGTCGGCTCCGCCCAAGCGAGGACGGGGCCAACACACAACTCCCGTTGACACAAGAGTAGGTTGCACGGGCGCCGTGGCTGAGCCACGGGGTTGACCTTGTGCTTGGGGTCCTCCACTGCCTCCAGCACCTCTGTCACCCCTTTCTTCAGGTCCAGCCATCGTCCAAGCTGCTCCAAGGCGCTCTGATACCACTTGTTATGAACACAATAGGCTTCAATGTGCCTAAAACGAAAGATGGATTGCATAGTCGGATTTCTGCGCAGCGGCTTCAAACGTTCATAGCGATCTGGTTACCGCTCCAAATCACATGAATCAACTTGGATCTGGAGCGTCTTGACGTCCTCTACACTATGCAATTTCCGGTTTCATTAAGAATTGACGACACAGCGTCGGTTTCAACGAACGACACTATGGCAGCAACATAGTCTTAAAACACACAATTAGGAAGAGCTAGGAAGGGTTACGAGTTGGGAATGACTCCCAGCTCCTACAATCCCCAAGAGCCGAGGTACAGTGATGTGGAACAGTGCCACACTGTCCCCAACCAAAAAGGGTCTCGAAACTACCCTCCACAAGGGCCAACACCAAGTGAAATGTTACACTACAAATTGTAATGTAACGATTCTTGATATCTTAAAGTGTACCCTTTTGGCGAGCTTCGAAATCACTTGAAGCTTGAAACCAAGGCTCTGGTTCTTCATCACAAACTCATCCTTGAGTTCTTGATGGGTCTGCTGCACACACCTGTGACACGCCAGACGTTCGACACAGGACAAAATAGAAACCGCGCACGAGACACACGACAAAATAGAAAACGCGCGCGAGACACAAATGACCGCATTAACACGCGGCTAGCGATAACTCGCTATTGACTTGACACACACACTCGACATCATAACCCATCACACACACACTATTATAAGCATGAAATATATATTACTTCATGCCCTCATTCCATTCCATGCACACACGCATGCACGCACACGGACAACAAGCCGAGTGCAAACCGTAGGGTTGCACCAACAGGCGGAAGCACCATGGCTAGCGCCATCTCCCCGAGTTTTAGCAGCAGCGACAGTGGCAGTAGGAGATGCACAGCTTGCAGAGGTAGAACGAGGTGCGCGGAAGGATGTAGGGATTCGCAATGGGAGACAAAGAGATTTTTTCTTGCCCATCTCTCTCTGTCAGAATACCTAGCATGAGCTTAGAAACCTAGAAGCCATGGCTAGGTGAAGTTAGAGAGAAAAAGGGGTTTTAATAAGGAACAAAGGTACAAGATATAGGAAACAAGAAGAAGCTAGGCAAGGAGGCGCACCACCACCACACATGAGACAACTACACCAACACTACAAGCAATTATATAGAAAATTAATAACATATTTTGACACTCCCCCATAGTTGTTTGTAGGTATAAGTGTAGCAACGCCCCCTTGGGGTACACCATGCAGAGTGCAGCGGAAGAAGCAGAGGGCAAGTGAGGAGGAGGAGGGACCATGAGAGGAGAGGTGGTGGTGGGCGGCGGCTGAAGCTGCTGGCACACGGGCTACTGGAGCAACTGGCACACGGGCAACCGGAGCAACTGGCACACGGGCAACTGGAGCAACTGGCACACGGGCAACTGGAGCAAGTGGCACACGGGCAACTGGAGTAACTGGCTCCGCGGCTAAGCGAGCAGCTGGAGCAACTAACTCACGAGCGACTGGAGCAACGGGCTCATGGGCGACTGGAGCAACGGGCTCACGGGCGACTGGAGCAACAGACTCACTGGCAACTGGAGCTGCTGGCTTCACGGCGGCCACCCCCCTTCAACCTCCCCCTTTCTCCCCAAACCTCCCCCCCACGCCAGCAGGCGCTGCATCCCTACCGCCACTCCTTCGTCTCCCCCACACCTTCCCCCCCTCACAGCGACACGTGGCGCGCGCAGGCAGCAGTGCGCACAGGGCGCGTATGGCAGTAGGGCGCGCTGGCGGGCAGGGCAGCGCGACGCGTGGGCGGGCAGGGCGGCGGGGCGCGCGGGCGGGCAGGGCGGCGTGACGCGCGGGCCGTACGTGGCTGCGCGCGGGCCGCACGCGGCTGCGCACTGGCCGTACGCGGCTGCGCGAGGCCATATGCGGCTGCGCGCGGCCGTATGGAGCTGCGCGCGGCTGTGCACTGGTTGGCCGCTGACATGGTCGGCACGGGCTGTTGGTGCGACGTGGCAGCAGGCGGGGCGTGACTAGGCACGCCATGACAGATCGCGAGTTTGGTGGGCCCATTAAGTACAGGTCCTAGGAGGAACCATGCTCTGATAGCATGTCGAAATACCGAGCATGAGCTTAGAAACTTAGAAGCCATGGCTAGGTGAAGTTAGAGAGAAGAAGGGGTTTTAATAAGGAACAAAGGTACAAGATATAGGAAACAAGAAGAAGCTAGGCAAGGAGGTGCACCACCACCACACATGAGACAACTACACCAACACTACAAGCAATTGTATAAAATATGAATAGCATATTCTGACACTTTCCCCCCACCCTCCACACCCACCAGTGGACAAAAAAGTGATGCCCACCACACATGCACTTCTGTTTCCAGCTTTGGAAAAGTTGTGCATTCAAGTATTAGCCTCTACACTCTCCAATCCTTTTTTCCACCCTTATTTTTCCTCTCTCCTCACTCCATCCCTCATGTTCCAGCTCTCCTTCCGCCCCACCTCCTAAACTGCCCACTTCCGCACTACCGTCTCCCAGGGTAGGCGCGGCGTGCGTGTGGGAGCATGTGAATGGTTGTGGGTTGGGGCGTGGGTGTGGGTGTAAGTGCGGGTGTGGCTGTGAGCAGAAGAGGCAGCAGCAGCAGCAGCAATGGATGCAGCTTTGGAGAAACTCGTAGGCGTGCTGATGGGGGACGGTGGGGAGGGAGGGAGGGAGGGAGGGAGGGAGGGAGGGAGGGAGGGAGGGAGGAAGGGAGGGGGGGGGGGGGTAGGACGGGAGAGCGACGAGATGGGGGATATGGGCAGGGAAAGGGGTGGGTGTGGCGCAGATCAAGTAAGAAGCAAATGAACTCGTTTTGCAGTTGCCATCAAATTCTCTTTTGACAAAGCACAGACCTCAAGATAACACAACGATCTCTCATGCGGATCTAAGGGAAGAGGCCAATGCGGATCATGGCATTGGGAAGTTTTTGAGGCACCACAATGACACTATGTGAACAATCATATCAAGAAACCCAAGAGCTTGCTATACCAATTGCATCCCCGTATGCTCTTGCAAGGCTCGACTCTTGACTCGCCCCATCTTCCCCTCTGTTACCCTGCCAGCATCTCCAGACGTGCCAGCATCTCCAGTCATGCCAGCATCTCTGTTACCCTACAAAAAACATACCTCGTTTTCTCGGCTGCTCCTCCTGCCCTTCTTGCCTTCTCTCACCTTATTCCCAACCCCTGCTGTTTTTACCTGCTGCACCTGCCCCCGAAAGATGGGAGCACTTTGTCGCACTGCCTTTTTCACATCGCTGGCATCTGCCACGCCACACTGTCCAGCTTTCCATGCCATCTGCAATCCCCAGAGTGGCTGCTCCTACCGAGCCACATGGCAGGCTCGGGAGCTGCCAAGTCAGCAGCTGAAGCTCAGGTGGTGATCGGGACGTGGAGGATGGGAGGAGCGGGCGAGAGGGGCGAAGAGGGAGAGGTGGAGGAGGTGGGAGAGGAAGGGCAGGAGGAAGGCGCGGACTCCCAACAAGCATGCCTTTTCCCCCTCTCCCTTGCCCCTCTCTCGCCTCGCTCCTGTCTGCTCGTCTCTTTCTGACCCCCCCTCGGTATTCCCGCCTCGTATCTACCCTTCCCGCCTCGTATCTACCCTTTCCGGCCCCCTTGCCGCCCCACGTGCTGCAGCACGTAGCTTCGCTGCCCTGTTGCTGCCTCCTCGCCAGCTCCGATCGACCCACTCCTGACCCTGCTACAGCCCACATCAGCATCCTACTGTGCAACAAGCGTTTTGGCGGCTGCTATTGCTGCTGCCTTGACGATCCGATCCAGACCGCCACACATCTGCCACGATGCCGACATGGAAAGGGAGGAATGGGGAATCTCTTCTTCCTTCAGCTCGCTCCCTTCTGTCCCTCCCCTCACTCTTCACTTCATACTTTCAGCCGCCATTCACCTTCTTCGTTTCCTCCCTTTCGCACTTGCCGTCACGTCGCAACTGCGATCGAAGGTGCGGCCGGCGCTTTGGCTGCTGCTCCCTCTAGGTCAATCGGGTCCTTCCATCCCTTGGCTCCCGACCGTCACACATCTGCCACGGCACCATAGACGAGCACCGGCACGGAAAGCGGGAGGCGTAATGGGGAGAAAAGGGTGGAGAGTTGGGGGGGGGGGGGGGGGGGGGGGGAGGGGGGGAGGGTGAGGGGAGGGCGAAGTGCGGGGGAAATTGCGCAAGCCCCAGTCACAGCACAAGGCGCCTAATGGCGAGAGGCGATGCTGAACACAATGTAGCTGTCATGGCAGTTTAAGTCGCATAGCGACACATTGCGCTTCAACACGGAAGGCGCGAAGGGCGGAAAGGTGTCGCAGGGTGAAGAGGCACATTCGCTAGAGGTGCGGCACGTGAGAGGCTTGCGATGATTGAAGCATGGCAAGGGGGGAGCGAGGAAGGGGAATCGTGAGCGAAAGTGCGAGGTGAATATATCAAGAGCGAGGAAGAGGAAAGGACGAGAAAAGGAACGATGCAAGATCTGGGAAAAGGATGAGCGAATTATGTTGACACTTGACCGACTCACCCTTGGCATCATCGCCCAACAGCTGACGCAACATCTGTCGCTATGGCCTGGAGAATGCGTCTTTCTTCGTGAGCCGGTTTGAGAAGCTATCAAGAAGGTCCGAGCCCCCTCATTACAATTTAACCGGCCGTTCCGCTCATCTCTCTTGCGCTTCCCTCCGTTCCTTTTCCCTGTCGTCGCTTCCGCTCTGCGCCTCCGCTTGCTCCTGCGCCTGATATTGCTTCCTCTGCGCCGCCGAGCCCGCGCCACGGCCTTGCTTGTAGCGGGGACAAGGGAGGCGACACACTCGCACGGTACTAGTGATGTACATGCAAGGGATAGAATCGCGATCGTCGGTGGCGCAGCTGGACTGCTCAATTGTGTCAGCATAAGGAGAGTGAACTGAGAATCCCCGTATAAGCGTACAAACAGGAAGAAGAACAAGAGGTGACGAGAGTCGTCGTAGGGTTGCGAAGCTTTTTCTTGAGCAGATTACTAGTGGGAAGTGTGAAATTCGAAAAACATGGAACTTAAGTATTTGCTGGGATTACAGCTGTCCAACGGATTCGAACCCCATACCTTCCAGATACTACTCGACATTTGATCAACAACAATACATGCGTTGTGTATATTCACGCGTTTAATTATCACATAAAATGTCAGTACGACGAAGTTTGCAATCCCTAGGGTTGCATTTCTTCCCTTTTCTTCTCGTTGCTTCCTCTCGCTAACTTACTCTCCCCAAGCAGCAGACGAGTTCTTGCTTGGCTTCTCTCCTAGACACACTGGTGTGTTTATTTCCTAGATTGCATCTTCGTCAGCTCAAGTATCTTGTAGTTGCCGCATAGTTTCCTCCGATTTCGTTTTGCAGTTATGCCACTATTTGTTTTTCTGGTCGTTATTTCCTTTTCTTTACTTTGATTTCCACCTCCTTACTCAGTAACGTAGTCTGTTTTCCTTGTTCCTTTCTCTTGTGTTCGTACTCGTCGAAGTTTTCATGCATACTCTATTTTCTACCTTCTCACCTCCATTCCTTTAGCCTTTGTCTTTCCCATTCTGTCCATTCTTCTTTCAACTTTGCTCCTTATACTGACGATTCCCTCATTTCTATTGCAGTACCGCCTAACCTGATTTTTTATTTGTCAGTTAAGTACAACATTTCGTCTCTCTCTTGATCGTCCCTACCCTAGCTTGCTCCCGCTTCTCCCGCAACTCCCGCTTCTCCTTCGACTGCACCAGCCATATCTTTACTAGGTAAGAATCTATAGACTAACGTACGTATGAACGTTTGCTAGTTCTTTTTAGAATTCAAGAGAATACTAGAAACAGATTTGTTCATGTTCTTTCCTCTAATCTAAACCAATAAGTTGTCAATTATCTAGAAGCTAAACCGTTTCTAAGGATATCGCTTATTTCGACAGAGCCGCTAAGTCGTTCTTAAATGATGTGTCTTCTCCTGTAAGTCCAAATGTGTTCCTCACATTTTTAACTCCTAGAACTGTCCTGTCATTTCCTTGTCCTGTCATTTTCCTCCATCTTTTCCTTTCTTATCAGCTTAGACGCTCTTCTTTCGGTTTTTCTAGTATTTGCGCCCCATCTCTACGTGGCTATGTGCACTTTTTTTTCTTGAACAGATAGTAGCACGTCATACTTGAATACTCTTTCTGCCTCTTTTCATGCAATGCTTTCTTTCCTCGCATCTCGCGTTTAGTCCTCGTATTGCTTGTTATATTTCCTTCCGTATTGGTTCCACTGCTACCTTCGTGCGGTTTTCGACTCTCTCTCTCTCTCTCTCTCTCTCTCTCTCTCTCTCTCTCTCTCTCTCTCTCTCTCTCTCTCTCTCTCTCTAATGGTCCTTGTATTGATATAGCCGCGGAATACAAGCATGCAAGTCATAGAAACAAGGGTAACAAACAACCACAGCAACAGATCCTACCAACTACCACTCTAGAGCTCCAGGAAGAGCTCAACCACTGCAAAACAGTCCCCTAGGTTCAACTCCTGCCCAATACCACCTACAGGCGGGTTCTCTGCTATCGCTGCCTCCCCCAGCTTGAGTAGCAGGCCCACGGATTGGGCTCTCTGCAGGGCCACTGACCATCTCTGTCTGAACTGGTGCAGAAACTTGGCGGCATGAAATGATTTGGAGTCGGCGTTGAAGTGGCGCCGAGCCGCAGTGTTTGCTAAGAGTTTCAGGAAGACCGGTACCTCGGCGCAAGGACAGCCATAGGTTTCCACGGCCAGAGGGAAGAAGCTAACTGTCTCCGGCCTGTTGGCGTAATGCTTTATCTTTTTGTCAGCCTGCTCCCGTGCCGCCCATCCTCTCTCTCTCTCTCTCTCTCTCTCTCTCTCTCTCTCTCTCTCTCTCTCTCTCTCTCTCTCTCTCTCTCTCTCTCTCTCTCTCTCCCTAATATAGGCTTATAAGGGACAGCAAAAGGCAAAAGCTAAAGCAAAAGCAAAAGCACAAGCAAAACAGGCACAACCTGGTGCAACAATAATACCCCACCCACCCTACCCCCCCTCCCCCTTTTCCTACTCACTCCCCGGCTCTAGTGTTGCAAAGCAGTCCCCCGGGTACAACTCCCCCTCCAGCCCGCTCACAAGGGGGTTCTCTCTCTCTCTCTCTCTCAAGCAGCCCTTCATTGATTTGGCATATAACAGACAGGCATGATAAGGTCTAGTGCTAAGCAGTGGTCGTCCTAGGCATGTGAATAGGGGGATGTGGGGCAAGCAAGCATGCAAGGTCGGGTGAGCAAGCATGCAAGAAGACCAGCCTGCCTTGAGAACCTGCTGGAAACCTAAAGTGCCACCTCCGGGTCTCACTCCCCTGTCTCCCACACCTCCTCTTCACCACTGCCGCTAGCCCCTGTCACCCCTCCTCACGTCTCTCCTCTGGTCTGTCTCTAACTATCCCTCGTAGCCCCTCAGCCCCCTGCACCGTCCTCCAGCACCTGCCACAGGTCCCCCAACCTCGGCTCCCACGGGTCCGTGGGTGCTTGTGGGGAGGAGGCCTCTGCAGCCCGGTCTGACTTCGTGAGTAGGCTTGTTGCCTGGCATCGTTGCAGCATAACCGAGAAGCGTTGGCGGTAGTGGGCATTGAGACGCGCCGCTACTGTCGTCTGTGGGCCATGGCGGAAGCCTCGTTTGGCCGCATTGGTGGCTAACATCCGGAAGAATCTGACGGTATCGGCCGCCAACGCGCCGTATGTCTCCACCGCTAGTCTTAGGAATCCCACGCACGACGGCCTTTCCTCGTAATGTTTGTGCTTGCCGATGCTCGCCTCCTCAGCCGCCCACCCTGGTGCCCTAGTAGCCCCGAGGTCCCGCCTCTGTAGTACCGGGTCTGTTACGGTCACATCAGTCACCCATGTCTCTGACGTCTCCGTTGCAGCGTCACCGACCAGCGCTGTCTGTAGTGGCCGGTGAGCTTGGAGGCCACTGTGGTCAGCCTCCTCTGCCGATGCTTCTTCTTTGCTGCCTGTGTTCCCATTAGCCGCAAGAAACGCTGTGTGTCTCGTGCTAGGGCTCCGTATGTCTCTACCGCCAGCCCCAGCACCCCCACATAGTCCGGCCGCCCCTCATACAGTCCCCTCTTCCCCCTCGCCGCCTCCTCGGCCGCCCATCCTGGTGGTTTCACCGCCCTTGTGTCGCGGCGTTGCAGGACCGGATCCGTCACCGTGACGTCAGACACCCACGTTTCGGCTGACTCCCTATCCTTAAAAGCCAGGTCAGCTCGCTTGGGTTTAATAGGGTGCGAGTAGACCGTGGTCTCGTGCAGGGCAAGATAGTCCGCCTCCCTGGCCATGCGCAATGCCGCATACACCAGCGTGTTGTGCATGTTAGTGCGGTCCGGCCCCTCCCCACATCGCAGCAGGTGGTTCGGTAAGCTAAGATCCCCAATCTTTGCCCTGTCCTCGTGGCATGGGCAGTTGTCAGTCACCCCACGGCTTGTGTACACCCTGTTACTATTTACAGTGGGCTACGATGTGGGGCAAAGAGTGTATAGTAGCATAAGTTTGGACTCCCATTAACAATTATGCGATACACACCCGTAATTATTCCACAGAAACGCAAGAGAATCATTCACAAACTGTCAAGCAATGCCTATTATTCCATACCAAAATGGTCTGATTTTCTAATATACATACCATTTTTAGACCTTAGTCTAATTTTCCATAAATTATAATTCTCCAAGT